ACACACACACACACACACACACACACTCACACACACACTCACACACACACACACACACACACATACACCCACACACACACACACACACACACACACACACACACAGCAATTTTAGACTTCAGGGAGTTCCTTAAGGTAACAACTTTATGTTTGCACGTTTTACAGTGTTTGTACATCGTTTTAAGAAACACATGAAGATTGTGTTTGTGTCTGGTTTCACTTGCTGAGGTTTCATCTCGCAGGTAAATATGAGTTTTTGCTTGATTTCAGCTGAAAGCTTTTGTGGTGGCTGGTGACTGGAACTTTATTTGTAAGTAATTAGACAATGACTTGAACATTATATCATAACATAGATTTAATTTGCCGTACTTGTATACATTTTGTTGAGCTGATCTGTATGATGATGTTCAGTTTCCAGGCTCATTAAAGTTTGATTTTACTAAGAGTCTGATATTAGAATAACATAACATCAGATTCACACACACCTTTACTTTATTTTACCCTTGCTATTTTAAAATATTTACATTTCCTTCTTATCTCCTGAGCTGTAGACGTCCCCAGAATCTCTGTGTTTGTGGCAGGGCTGAACTGGGTGACCACTAGATGGCAGCTGCCCAAAACTGCACTGATACTCAGCATGAGGACAGAAAGAAAAAATCAGTAAAATAGTATTATGTCTGTACATATGCGAATTGTCCATTTTAAGTATATATTGATGATAAATAGAGGATGCTGTTTCTGTGGAATCAGAGAAATGAAAGCAAAACTAATACGGACAAATTTATATTATAGTTGAGCCTATGAGGTAGAGCTGGTAACAGATTACATGTAATCTGGATTACATAATCAGATTCCAAAAATTAAGTACTTGTAATTAGATTAAATTACATTTTAAAATACTCATAATCAGACTACAGTTACTTTTTCATTGATTACATGAGTACATGTTATTCACACAATAGCAAATAAATTATTTATAATTGATTGATTCTCCCTAATTCATCTTTTTAATCTTTTAAATGTTCCTTTCTAAAATAGCCTGCCACTTTGCCAGTTTTGTGGACATTCACATAAAGACCATTAATCAGGTGGCTATAATTACACAGAAAATTGAGATGCCATGCCACGCAGCATTTGACCACTGGATTTACAAAAATCAGAAGTGTTTTCTCAGCATTTCAACATTGCATCAACTACTGATGAACACATTCATTTTTATTTGAATTATCACTCAGTATGTTATTTAATCATGTATCACTATGTCTTTGGAAGACTTTTGTCTGTCAAACACATTAACATGCACAAATTCACGTTATTCTTTAATAACATGTAATGCACTTTCACCTAATATATATTTACTTGATGCACCCCTAAGATTTTAAGGCAATAAGTTAATAATTAAGTAACACATTTGCATGTTCACGGTTCTCTTAGTTAATAGTCACATGACATGCAGTTAAACAAATCAAATATTTACTTTTTTAGTAAGTGTTTTATTTTGATGGATGCTATTTTAAAATTATTTATTTTAATTTACATTTTTATGATTATTATTAGTTTTTCATTAAACTCTCGAACCCAAGTTTGGGAAACATTGACGTAATGCTTAATGCACTTTATGCTGTTAATAACAACAAATGGAATATATTTTCTTTTTATTTGCATTTTTATATCCTTTAAGATTATCCTATATTTAAATCAATGTGATAAACAAGTCAAAAGTAATCTAAAAGTATCCTAATCAAAAAATCAAAAAGTAGTCTGATTATATTACCTAATATGTGTAATGTAATGGATTATGTTACGAACAGTTTTGGTCATGTAATTTGCAGTCAGTAACGCATTACAATTTGTTAGTAATCCACCCAGCTCTGGAGGTAGGCTAATAAAAACCTGTAACAAAAGATCTAATTTTGCAGTAATCATTATCTTAAATTATCTTAAGTATGATTATACCTTTGCATTAGCAGCAGTTTTAATGTATTAAATGTTAATTTATTGCCTTTTTTTCCAAATAAATAAATGGTCAAACTCAGCAGATATCTATTGTTTAATATATTTATTATTATTTACATTTCTGGCATTATTTATATCATATGATGTATGTCTTTCTCCTTTATATTAATTTATTACCAACTGCTAGACTGATTTCACGGGGTTCAATGCAGATTTTATGCAGAATTATTCTCCAAAACAATCCCAACCTTATATATATATTGTTTTGGGGAATAATTCTGCATAAAATCTGCATTGAACCCCTTGAAATCAGTCTAGCAGTTGGTAATAAATGAATTGCTGGTAATAAATTAATTCTAGTTGTAGAATTTGTAACGGCAATACATACCTGTCAACCCTCTCGTTTTTCCCGGGATTCTCCCGTATTTTACCATTCTACCCCGCTATCATCCCGTTTAAATATTTTCCTGTATTTCTCCCGTATTTTTTATCTTTCTATAGCAAAATCCCACTGGTCGTATTTTCACTGTAAAAAAAAATCCGTAAAATTTACAGTAAAAAACCGGCAGCTGTGGTTGGCGGAATTTTACCGTAAAAAATACGGTAGCAACGTTTTAGGTTTTACAGTTTTAACTACATTCGCTTCGGTAAAAACTCCCGTAATTTGTATGGCCCACCTCATTATACGAATAATCACGTCAACAAATTCCAAGGTTGTTGCCAGATCTTGTATGAAACGCATCCTTCTCACACAATCTACACATACAAATTTCAACCGATTTATCCCCTCAACTTGGCAACCTACAACCCAGTGATGCTATTGATATCTGCACAGGTAGTTCTGCGGGAGGCTGGTAGAAATGGGAGGAGAAGACTCAGGTGGTGCTCCGGTGAAAAAAAACAATGTAAATTGAGATATAGCTTACACTTCAAAAGGCTATGGTTTAATTGATTAAAAATGAGCGCTGCAAGTCAGCTGCTGCACTGCTTTGTTTACTGCGGTTACCGGGGAAACGGCTATATTCCTGGCGAAAAGCGCCACCTGCTGGCAGAGCATGAATTTGTATTTTTCAATAAACCCTTACGCTCTTTGTTTAGAGTAGACCAAAAACAAAAACGACCCTTATTTTTACGCAGAAAACAAGCAGTTGTGAACCGGTGGATCGACAAGAAGATAATGAATTACAAAACTCTAAAGATAAAGCAATCCGTGTATCATTCGTTCTTTTCATATTCAATTAAGAAGTCAAATTCGGAAAATCGAAAAAGGACTTATGTCATTATTCATTTACAGATACAATATTCAAAAAATAAATAACGACTTGTTTTTCGTATTTTCGATTTCATGCTAAAATTGAAAATGGGAAATCAGAAAAACGCCTGTAGCCTGAATCTGATTTTGATATCTAAACTTGGCATAACCCGGAAGTAGCTGTGAAAGAGGGTTGCCAATTCTGCATAAAACCAATTACAGATCAAAACTAGCCCCGTAACGGCTAAAAGTAGCCCAAATGAATTCCAGGGGGTCTCCCGGTAAAAATCCCTTTCCGGAGAAGAAAATTTGCGTTTTGGTTTGGTAAATATCTCGTTCCAGGCAGGGAAGGAAGGGAATTCCGTCGGGAAACCATGTACTTGGCAATACTGCTGTATGAGAGCGCTATTGCTGGCCCAACAGCACTGACGACCACAACAGCAAAACAGTTCTTCTTACAAAGGTTATGAAGCTCTTTTATTTTTTTTGAAAGCAGCAAAGTTATATAGGAGAATATAGAAAGTTCGTTTTTTTCCCCCCTCATGTCAATGCCTCACACACCATCCCAGTAGGTGGCGGAATACGTATGGGCTTACATTTCTGCCACAATTCTGCGCGCGAAAGATCATATTTTGAGCACACAAAAGTGCATTTTGCACGCGCGCGATCTGAGTTTTGTGGAGAAAATGTTCGTTTCGCAAAGAAAAAAGTCTTTCGAGCACACGGAAATCAATTTTGCATTTAAAACACGTTTTTGGATGTGTGCAGACCTTCTCCTTTGCGCGTGCAACGTTTCACTAGCTTGCTCACCTGATGCCCCCCTCAGTGCTCTCTAAATGCCAACAGCTAGCACACAACCCAGTGTTACAATGTGCCATAATTCCAGCCAATCAGAGACCGAGGCTGCTAAATTCTGATTGGCTGCCTTGACAACCAATCACAACATTTCTTGCATTACCTCGACAGCAGAAGGCGCTCGAAATACTTTCTTCTTTGCGAGACAAACATTTTATGCACAAAACTCAGTTCGCGCGCGTGCAAAACGCACTTTTGCGCGCTCAAAATATGATCTTTCGCCCGCAGAATTTCGGCAGAAATGTAATTCCATAAATACGCACCAAAGCTGGTTTGCCAATTGCCATTTAGCGTCAAAGAAAAAGAAGAAGACGACGACTACAGCAGCAATTATGGAGAGTTTTGTCTTGTTCAAAGGGAACAAACGCATCACATTAAAAGAAGGCGACATGACAACCGAGAAAATAGGCAGGATCTTTCAGGTAACGTTACTGTAGATCAGGGGTGCCCAAACTCGGTCCTGGAGGGCCGGTGCCTGCAGAGTTTAGCTCCAACCCCCATTAAACACACCTGAACCAGCTAATCAAGCTCTTATTGGGCATAAAGTTACTGGAAATTTGCAGGCAGTTGTGTTGAGGCAAATTGGAGTTAAAATCTGCAAGACACCGACCTTCCAGGACCGAGTTTGGGCACCCCTGGTGTAGATTAAAATACAAATACACGCACTTAAGGACATTTCACACTGCGCCGACCAAGACATGTCGATGGGTTTTGTCAGATCAGTGTATTACCCTCTGTTGGCGCTGGTTTTCAGTGATGCTGGTAATTTGGTGATTGTTCATTGTGGTGGGAGTCTGTCGGTGCAGGGTGAATTGGCCTTTGTGTCAAAATGCTGCCATTTTCATGAGAAAATCTAACGTGTATAATTGTATTGGATCCGTGCACTAGGTCTTAAATAACTATGCTCTTTACACATTTTTGTTAAACATACACCATTTTGGATGATCTGTCAGGAGGCCCAATATTTTAGACTTTGAAAACAATTGGGCTCTAATCTGTTAAATTAAATCGTAAATTTCGGTGGTCTGATGACTATCCTCCACTTATGTTGAAAGTAACTGTCTTAAAGGTCCATGGTCCCAGTCTGTACATCACTGATGACAACAATGTGGCTCTGTTTCCTGCACCTGATGGCCACTTCAGTCTTGTTGACCTCACACCAAGGGGGCATTATGAGGTGCATGGTGAGAGCATCATTGAAGAATCTTCACCTAATACTCCAGTAACCCCCAACCCTACTCGCTTTTTCTTCCACCGACCAGTTAGTGCAGCAGCGGGTTCTGCAACTGGTTCTTCTGCAGTTCCAAGAGCTACTATGCCAAAAACTTTCCAAAGGTAACCAAATTAAACAATTCCTCTTTGTACAAACATTAAACTACTGAATATGTTACACAATTTATGCATCGTAGTATAATAGTATATAAAACAATTGAAGACTGCCAATGAAGTGAAATTACTGAACATAAACATAGGAGCCTGATTAAAAATGCTCATTTTAGGAGAAAAATGTCAATTGGCACTTTTGCATCTGAAGTCTTAAATATTTTTTAAATTTTTTTTGGGAAAAAAACTATTTAATGGAAACTACTATCATGCAATTCTGGCCATAACTTAAAACCTCAGATAATTTAACATTGAAAACAGCTCTAAAATTACCTGCATGAATGAAAACTTATAATGTACAGGAACAGGAATACTAATATCAAATGTGCAAAAATGCTTTTGTTTTTATAAATATTTAGGAGTGTTTTCATTGCTGAAGTTGTGGATTGCAAGTTGGAGACAAGCAAAACATTAACAGTCCGTTTTTCTGAGTTTGAGGCCTCTGTTCCGGGTATTGTGAGTAAAGTTAAAGAGGCCCTTGGACAAGAGGACTCATTGATTCTGACTGATGGCCAAGGAAAGGAAATCCTGGATTCTGAAGGAACCAGAGGTATAATTAAACTAAATGACTAAATGACTAAATGTAAATGTAAATGTAAATATACATATTCATATTTATATATTATTTACTATACAGGATCAGCATACTGGAAACAGAATGCACGCAAAGTATTTGCTGTGCCGCAAGAAGAATTCCTGCAGCTACGAGAAAGTAAAAGGAGGAGACTAAGGTACAGAAACTGCATTTCATCAAATTAAAATCATTACAATTTCAATCAAATTTCTATGGATTGTCACCTAAATTAGCCAGTTAATCAGTATTTTGTATATTTGAGAATTCAGTGCAGTGCAGATGCACAGCATCACTTAGGCACAGTTGGGGCCACTAAATTCAGAAGAATTGATAAACTGGGACCTTGATTACTGTTTATTATAACAATTACTTTTGCGTAACGGATTTTTTAAAATCTCGGGTTAATAAAATCTCAGATTCCAGTTAGACTGCTTGAAGCGCTTGAGACTTTAATAGGTGTATAATGATTGAAGTATAGTTAAAATGACTGTGTCTGCTTACTTTCACTATGAATGTGCTATCTGTTGAAAACGAATAGAATAATTTTTGATTCATATGATTTAAATGTTTTACAGTCGACGAGATGATGCTGGCCTCCAAGATGTTCTGGACACAATTGAAGAGGTTGTGACAGCAGCCCAGGGACTGCAAGCAGTGTCCACCACACTGAAAGAGCTCATGGATTTAGCAAATTCCAATCGCAGAACAACAGTATCCCTGACAGATGTCGAAGCAGCAGCAGTTAGAGATGCTTTTGCCTGTATTATCTGCAGAGGTTTGTATAATTTTATATGTTATTCTTTAAAATATTATTCAATTGTCTAAAATAATCAAGCCAGTGACTAAACCAACCATTTTATGAAATGGGGAAAAAAAAGATTGATGTGCTAATCTAAACTTTATCAGTACAATTGATTTACTGCTTTCCACAAAGACAACAATGCGCCACAAATGTATCGAATAGTTCTCAAATACTGTACTATTTAAAACTATTTTCTGAATCAAATTTGCAGGTCCAATGAACGAGCCCATGGTTTCATCATGCTGCCAAAGCCTTATTGGCTGCAGGATTTGCATTAAGCAATGGCAAATAAATTCTCCCTTCTGCCCTAAATGCCGGGCTGGCGATTCTGGTAACAACATACAAAGACTCATGGGCTTATCTGATGCATTGGCTGCACTCAGAAACATACTCTTGGCGTAATACTGTATATTATGTAGTAGTATTATCAAACATTGCATAGTTTTACTGTTGTTTTGTTCTTAATCTTCTCAAAATATGCAGTTCTAGGGCACAGTTACATGTGCATCATTCAATTTATTTTATTTTATATTGCACACAATGTAGAATGCTGAGAAAGTTAATATGCAGTCTTGGATTTATACCAATTTTACACAACCCTTTTTTTTTGTGTATTTGTTAGATTTTTTTGAAAGGTAAACATTTGTGGTTGAACGATTCTGTAAGACTGATGCAAAACGTTTAATATTTGTTGTTGTATTCAAGAGTTTGAACTTGAAATGTTAAATACAACAGAGTTCTTGGAAAAATAGACTTGTCTGTTTATTCAACTGACATTTGGGCGTAGTGGCAACTAAATAAATGCATACACTTTATCCATTAATAGTATACCCAGGCTGATTTGATAGACTTCACAGTAGATATCTACATGTAGAATACACTGCTTTAAAAAAAAAAATTGATGTCACTTTTTCATACATATCTTTGGGTTACATTTATGAGGTGAAGCAATGCATCCTGAAAAAGGCTATATTCACTATTTACTGTTTGATTGAAAAGAAGAGATGTCTGGATAATTCTCTGCAAAGTCCTGCTCTGCATGACTCCTGTCCTCCTCAGAGGAAAAAGGAACCGTTCCAAAGGTAGACATCCAAGTCAGCGATGATCCCAACTCCTGCTCATACATATTTGCCACAACAGGGGCATGGGGCAGCAGCTCACCTGAAATTTTTGATGGACATCCAGTTGCTGCAAGTTCATTGGGTATTCCACGGCCTAAAACAATTAAGCATGGTAAACAACAGATATCAAAGCAATGCACTGAATGTGAATGGACAGTGATTTTAAAGTGCCTTTTCAGAAAAAAGATTTTAAAGCCCTGTACATTATCAGAGCATACCTGGGATCCTGTGTGCATTCCATGATTGTACTACTCTATTTACTCCAATTTGGCTTAATTAGCATACCAGGTTAGAAGTGCAGAATTTAGTCATATTGTCCTCCATGTTGATGACTTCTTGGTCTAGCAGGTGCACCAGGGCCTGTTTCAATGGGTAGTTCACCCGATTGTTCACTTCAGGCCAAATCCTTTCCACTCTAAGATTCTGTTGACCACAAAAAGGAAAATCAATTACCAATTGAAATGCATTTCTTTTTTCCAAGGACACAAAACTGAAAGTATTTGCAAGTATGTATTATTAATTTAATCTTTTAATATTGGTTGTTCATTGTTATCAGCATTTCAAAAACCTCACCCTTGTCGAAGTTGTTTGGAGGTATGGTTGTCTGCTGAGGTTGTGTCTGTGTCTTGATAGCTTCTCTTGCATGTATAGGGACATATAAAATTCCCTGCCATGGTCAACCCTGAGCTGGTCCCACATGCCATAGTTAACTACAGCAGATCTGAAATAAAAAGCTTTAAATTTGTTGCACGTGTACATGACAATTCTGAAGAGCATGACATTCAAAGAAAAGATGATATTTTTAGCACAGAAATTGATTTTGACAGCAATGAGTTTATTTACTGGTTAACACTTCAGCATGGGCAACACATTCACTATTAACTATGACTTTTGCCTCAATTAACTCCTAATTTACAATTAATAATTAACATTTAAATGCTGTTTAAATGGCACTGATAACAAAATGTTTAAGCACTTGTGCCTGTTTGTATGGTGAAGGATTTAACAAAAGGAAACAAAACTGGCTGTATATTTGGATATCATGACCATGATTTGTGGAACAAGTAATCAAAAAATCAAGATTTGTTTCTGCCAAATAATAGAGGAAGGGGGAAGAATCACTCATATTAAAGACTAACGATGTAATTGGTCATGCAACTTTATCATGATTATTATTATTCTTTAATACACAGCACAAGAACAGACGGAGCAAAACTTACCTGTCGTCGCAATTCATGGTATGGCTGATCAATTTCTCTCAGCATTTTTCCGACTCGACTTTCTCCTGCATGCACTCCCAGTGAAGATAGATTCATGCCAGTCATGAACTTGCGGCCGTACGATGGCCCCGTCTATTAAGACATATAACCATGAGATAACGTTTGAGCAATACGATTCTTGTATCCATGACAACCAAAGACTGAGAAGCAAGATATTTAAACAGTATAGCCTACATAACGGGACATTTGACTATACATCACATTTTTTACATTATCAATAGCCTACAGTTTGAAATCGTAATGCTAGGGAAAGGCCTAACGTTACAGGAAATACATTAAACCCATAAGTGTGAGCTGTTTACACCAGCCTGTACAGCGACGGGTCAAATGAACACAAAACACATTTCAATAACCCACTTTAAGTGTTTATTACAAAAGAATTGCTAAAAATAAATACATTTAAACGTTAAAACAAAAAATTACATTTAATTGTGCCAAACGCAAAGCTGCCAGTTTCTTGGAGGACTGTGAAAGCGCTGTCCTGCCATAAAACATTGATAGAACAGTATGTAAATAATAATAATAATAAGAAGAAGACAATTTTATTTACCTCATAAATGGATCCAATCACAGCTGCTTCCAATTCTGTGTCCGATACATGTCTTTTTCGACGAAGGTTGTATTTCAAACAGATTCGTCTAACACTCATTTCAGAGCATCGCTGGACACCCATTTTTTTGCAAATCTGTTGAGATCTCTGCATGAGTCTTGCCATTTTCGAATAAGCCTTTAACCAAATCAATGTATTCTTCTAGCGCGTCCATTATACTAAGCGCCCTGTCATCTAATTTTATGGAGGCCGTGGAATCCCAAAATATGTAAATTACAGGCATGGTGGAACCAATCCCGCCACTGAACACTAACTTCTGGGTCATGCCAACCTGGATAACTAAATATCAAAATCAGATTCAGGCTGCAGGCTGCAGGCGTTTTTCTGATTTCCCATTTTCAATTTTAGCATGAAATCGAAAATACGACAAACAAGTCCTTATTTATTTTTTGAATATTGTATCTGTAAATGAATAATGACAATGATTCGATTTTCCGAATTTGACTTCTTAATTGAATATGAAAAGAACGAATGATACACGGATTTAAAGCCTACACTAAGATTTTTATTTTTATTTAGTAATTTAGCAGACGCTTTTATAAAAAAGCGACTTACAAACGAGGACAACAGAAGCAATCAATTGTAGTATTGAAACAACTAAAAACAGATCCAAAACTACATAAGAAATGGTTATAAAAACTGAAACAGAAGTGAAACAAGTAGTATGATATATTTATATGTTAGTAAATGAATATAATTGTTTGATAATAACAGTTTAAATTAATATAATAAATGAATAATAATATAATAATTTATACTTTTGACTCCGCCCCACCACGGTCTCCCGTATTTTGATACCCGGATGTTGACAGGTATTGCAATATATACTTATTCGAAATTTGAATAAAAACTGTTATAAAAATATATTTTGATTGTATCATTGTATTGTGATACTAAATATTATTTGACTATCTTATGAAGAAAATAATGTATAATTTTTTTTATCATATTTGATATAAAACACATTCAAAGTGGACATTAAAGGGGTCATATGATGCGATTTCAAGTTTTCCTTTCTCTTTGGAGTGTTACAAGCTCTTGGTGCATAAAGAAGATCTGTAAAGTTGCAAAGACTAAAGTCTCAAATCCAAAGAGATATTCTTTATAAAAGTTAAGAGGCAGTCACACCTACCTAAAACGGCTCGTTCTAACACGCCCCCCCACATACCTACGTCACGATGTGGGAAGATTTGCATAATGTGTTTGTAATGGGTTTTAATGTTTTTGTCTCGTTGATCCAGCCGGACAGGGCATCATCACAGTATGGTGAGGGGCGTAACATTTCCGTCACACGCTTGAGGAATTTGGCCAACCACATCGCACTGGATAGCTGGCCAATCACAGCACACCTCGCTTTTCAGAACGATGAGCTTTGTAAAAATCGACGCGTTTCAGAAAGGCGGGGCATAGAGGAGAAACAATAATGTACAGTATGTGGAAAATGTTTTTTTTTTTACTTTAAACCGCATAAACACATGTCATTACACCAAATACACAAAATCATGTTCTTTTTAGCAGCATCATATGACCCCTTTAATTCCATTCAGTTCACATGTATTTGTATACAGACTGTTTCAAAGCAGCTTCACAGAAACAGTTATGCAGAACTTGTAATAGGTGAAATGTTTCCTCCATGGGTTTGTGTTCGTATATCACAGCCCGCAGCCTGTGGTCCTCGCGTGTTCCTGCTTGTTCTCGCCCTCAGCGTGTGCTTGAGTCACCGTGAAACACATTTCCGGGTTCTTCATGACCGCTCCCATTTTGTCTGTGTGTGTGATTTGTGCTTCGAGCATGCGATTAGGTGACTCCTGTTCCTCCTCCTACAACTTTAATGCACCCAAAATGGTGTTTGAGTGTCAGCCCTCTCTCTTCTCTCCTCCTCCTCCTCCGGTTGGTGTTGTTGTAAAGCCCTGCCAGCCTGTCAGCTGATCCCGCATGTTTCACCCCCCCCAGACTAGTCAAAGAAAAAGAGCCTATTTACATTCACTAAGCAACATAACAGACCTAGAGCGATATAATCATTCATTACGAATCATATCGCGCATTGATTTTTAACGTATTCGCTTTAAAGTGAAACGCGCGCTTATTAATAAAATAATCTAGACAGAAGATTTTAAGATATGCATTATGCATTGCTCTGAGCGCTGATATTTTACATATGGTAAACCGTAAATATATGATTAATGCTTAAAAAAAAAACCTATAAATAAAAGCTAGCTTACAAAAATATAACCTGCATCATTTTAACAGATCGCGATCAATAATTCTATATTATTGCTTGAACAAAAGCAGTAAATAAAAGCTATGCTATAATATAACCCGTTTGAATGCACTGGTCTTTTTAACGGATCTAGATCAATAATTTCAAATTAATGATCTTTACAATTTTTTTTTAAACTAGCCTATAAAAATGACATAATTTGAACAGATCTTGATCAATTATATTAATATGCAACACACAGAGATTCATATTTTAATACACGTGCATTGATTAATATTTAGGTTCATGCTTTCAAACGTATTTAATGTAAAAAAGCTTACTAAATGGACAC